TATATAGATATATATATATATATATATATATATATATATATATATGTATATGTATATATATATATATATTGGTTTCACCGCACATCTCTTAACATGATATTTATAACACAATTAACTTGGTTTTTAGCAATTTCTTGGGCCAAATACTCAAATAAGTGAAGAATAGCCGGTCAAATTACGGCTAAAAAATCTTAACCTTCAATTGACCTTGATTTTCTCATATTACTATGACTCCTGTCTTTCTTCATTCCATCTTTAGCATCAAAAAGCAAAGCCAGACGACCGATAACTATTATCTTCTCTTTACCATAATAAGTAATGTTTTGAAGAAGCATTTTTTAGGAAACGAAGCCATAGTTATTCTCACAAATGATGCAATAGAAGAGATGTGAGTGGAGTTCAAAGGCGTACATTACAAGCACAAATCAGAATTAAGTTATGCTAGACCTTTGAAATCAAAGCTGCCAAAAAGCATACTAAAACAAATTTTAAGTATGAAACAAACCTCAGCACTACTATCCAATGACATATCCAGAAAAAAATGTTGAAAGAAACAAAATTAAATTAGAGTGAATATCTCACAAATAAAGCGATAAATGAATTTACCTAAAACAAAATTTAATAATTTTATCACAACATATAGAATTGCATCACATATTGATGTTTGATCCTTTCCTCTAATATTTCTTCCTTCTCTTTTATACATTACAAACCCCAATTTGTATACCAGGAAAACAGATAGAATAATATGAAAGTAGATTGGGAGTCATATTTTCTCCTCAATAGTCATGTAAACTAACCGGCATTGTAAAAAAAAAAAATTTATACTCTTCACCAATAGATTTGCGTAACAACTATTGTCATCTCAGAAAGTTAACCATGTGAAACTGAACAAAATTTATCATTAATGTATTGTTTTCAAACCAATGAAATTGCAATCCACCCTTTATTTCTTGTCAAAAAAGAGAGCAATTCATACAATCTCTTTGAGATCCATACAAAGCAAACAAATGAAACCTAAAACAAATCAAGTATTTATTACATCATTGCATGAGTCATTCACATCAACTATTACCTTCTGCAGGATCACGTACGGATTAATCTTCTAAATCTTTGTGAAAATATAATTTGTAACGGGGAATAAGTAGCTTTAGTCCGGTAAACCGCTGTTTCCATACAATTCATTAAAATCTTCATTTTCACAAACACTACTTCATGGTGATGGATAAATCAATATTAGTCATCATGATTATCATCAACCATAGCACCAGTTATGCATAATTTTTATCACTAAAATGTACTTATAATGCTAGTTGATGGACACAGCATTCTCATTAATTCTTAAAACTTAAATCGCATTGCACAAAAAAGGATTTCAAGCTACCCTTAAAGCACACCGCACAAAGATCTAAGCAAATCGTGCAAAACTTCCATTTAGTCAAATAAAATCAATTCTTGATCACAGAGCAACCAAAGTTAATCACATCTCACAAGACCACGCCCCTCCTCCTCGCCCATCCATCTCAGGAACTGCATTACTCCCCACCTTCCGAGCAATGGCACCTCTGTTCCCAAACCAACATCCCTTTTTTCGGTTCACTAACTGCACCAACCTTCCTTACAAGCTAAGCATCACACAATGGCCTCAAACGAAACGTTCAAGACAAGCATAAAGCAGAAACAACAGCAAACGCTGGTAAAATCAAATCAACAAACCAACAAACCTGAGTATAGGAGCCCGCCGCCGCTGGTGAAGACGGCTGCGCCGGCCAGCCGGAGCTGCATTTGCTCTGCCACACTTCCTCCATAGCTACTCCCTGTCATCTGCCATCGAAAGAGGCAAGAGAGATCGGACGAAGAAAAGGAAGGCAGCGTCACTGTAAGAAAAAAGAGGACTTCTACTTTATCTTCCTCTCCATTTTAAACCTTCTAATTAAAAATAATAAATTATACTACTCTCAGTGAAGAAGGATCACACACGTGCGAAGACCACACGGCACGTGCGAAAAGGTAACAAAATTGTGGCCGTCCGATCGTCCGTCCGTGGTCGCGAGAATCGAGGAATTCGCCTCAGCGGTCGGATGCTGCCGAAGCGGGGGACAAGCTTCTCGGGAAACGCGTGTTATTATACTGGAAGCGGTTTGCCGCTCCGGAGGAGGAATTTACTTAAGATGGCCCTGCATCAAGCGGTCCATATTAAGCTGGTTGTCGAATTGAGACTTTTTTGCCTGTTCAACCATAGGCCAACATTGAGCTAAATTGGATATTCAACTATAAGAAAATATTATGTCAGAATATTCTAATGAAAAAATAATTATGATGTAGCCTTCAATTAACTTTAAGATTGGTGCAGCATTTCGTCACTGACGTACTTATATTGAATTTGACATCCATTTTCATCAATATTTTATGAAAAAGCCTGATTTTTTTAAGAAAATTGATGAAATATATTAATTTTATCATATAATAACTATAATTTAATATTAAATTAATTTCAATTTATTTGTGTAATAAAATTTTATCTCGAAATGAGAATTTTAATTTTGCACTCAAAATAAATAAAAAAAAATTATCAAAGCGAATTAAAACATAAATTATTTTATGGAAAAAAAAAATTAGTTTTAGTAATTTTAATTGTAATTCTATCTTAGCAAAAATCTTAATTGAATGTGGAATAAATATAATTATAAAAAATCTTAATTAGAAATAATCTTTTTTTTTTTTTTTCATTTCGCCATTGTATTCAATTTGAGATAAATTCCAAACTTCTTATTCCATCGATGAATTAGAATTGTGATTGATTTCTGAAGGACATCATGCTGGCGCTTCCACATTGGTTAGAAAAATATTTATGATGGGCTAGAATCGTCGCTAATTATTTACAACAAACTTCTGACAAGAATTGTATTTTGGTGGAATCCCGTATGTATAACTTTTTACGAATTAGAGTCGTCGGCTTATAACAATCGAAGTTCCAACAATTTATACACCTGCAATTGCATCATAAAAAAATGAGTATAAATCACAGTCTACTTTACATATCCACACAGTTACTAAACTAGAATCATATAAAAACAACCATAAATTAAAAATAAATGCAATCATTATGTATTAAACAATAATAAGTAAATCAATCAAGACATAAATGTCTCATAATAGTAATGAAATAACCGCACAACTACTCATCCTCATCCATATCCTCATCTATGTCCACCTCTATTAACTACTTCCCTCTCAGGCATTTCTCACATTGTACCTTCCCCAATTCCATATCCATTCTGGCCCTCGTATCAATGAGTTGAGCAACAAACCGGACCATTATATTCTTAGTGGTTGTCACGACCTAATGACCTATATGCAAACTTCAACATCCTCGAAAGATGTACAGCTTTTATCAGAGAAGTAGTGTATGTTATATGCAAGTCCTTGTGTACCCAAGCCATATATCATCCCTTTTTTTCTTGCCACGAATGGCTTCTCTCCAAAGGTGAAAGTTTGACTGATCAAAATCGCTAACAAAGAGAGAAACTCCTCCGGATTGTTGACTTTGAGCCTCCTTTAGCCGCGGGTAGAGGCAAAATTATATTTCAAAATAATATTAATTATATTAAATTTATTATGCCGCTTACACGTGCTCTCTATTATCTAGTGTCAACCCATAAGTTGTGCGACAAATGTTGAAGCCAATATTCAAATTTAAATATTTTATGACGAAACTTTTCAACTTAGTTATATCCATATGTTGGATTACACGCGTATGTTTATTTTAGATGAAATTGTATTGTTGGGAAGAAAGGGTTGTTCGATTCGATGAAATATGGATGAAAAATAAAAAGGAATGATGAGGAAAGTTTTTTATTTAGTTAGTAAAAAAAAAATGCAATGCAAAATTTTAAAGTATTTGAAATTCATCATTTAGCGTTTGAATGTATCAAGAATTCATTTAATATTAGTTGACTTTCATTTAATTTTAGTTGAATTTCAAATACACCATAAGGGTGAAGTTTTACCCATTGTTGTCATCAACCACAACCTTCAATTGTCAGTTGTCAGTGACTCTACTGTAAGTCTTTAATCGTTGTCAACCTCCCACCAACATCAGCCACCCATTGTTATTGACTTTGACGACAAACTATTATTGGGTACTCACCCACCACTATCACTGTTGATCACCTCTAGCCAACCACAATTGCCATCGTTAGCTAACGTCACTAGGGTTGTGCATTATTTGAACTAAACTAAACCAAATATGATTGGTTCATTCGGTTCTAATTCAAAAATATATTCCAAATTTTTTTTATTTTTAAAATCTTAATATCCAGTTTTTGATTATTATTCGGTTGTAATTGTTATTTAACTGAACATACCAAAATTTTTTTAAAAAATGAAAATTTAAATGGATGATTCAACAAATTAAATTGATATTATATGTCTATAATATGTAAGTCTTGATGTATATTCTTAGGGTTCGTTTGGGGCAGCTTATAAGTACGGGCGGCGTTTTCAAAACGCCGCCGTACCGTTTGGTTCGCGCGTTTCGCCAGCTTATCCGAAACTGCGTTTAGGTTTTTACACAAAACACAGGCCGCGGGTCGACCCCTGCGGCCGGCCCGCGCCCCGCGGGCTGAGTTTCAGGATAAACAGCTTATCCTGAAACGCACAAGCTGCCCCAAACGGACTCTTATTCAAACTCTAGCTAATAAGTAAATTTTGGTTTGTTAATAATCGAACAGTTCAAACCAAATTAAATTTCGGTCTGGTCGGTTCATTTTTATCAAATTTATGACTAGATCAGCTTTCAGATATTAGATGTTGGTTGCAATATGTTGGACCAATTTGAAAACCATTCCACTTAAACCGAGCAAATACTCACCCCCTAATTGTCACTATATGCCACCATCCCATACACCACCACAGAGCTTTACACATAATTCATTTTATTTGGAATAAAAAGAAAAAGTGATCGGATATATTTATTTTATAATTAACCAAATAGCTTCAAACATTTTAAATATAATGTATATATGTTGGAAAAAAAATATGAAGTAGGTTATGTGTTTTTATATGAAAAGTTCTTACTATGATATTGCCCCAATTGATTTAACACAAGTTACATGACCAAAGTTTTTATTCATAACGATTAGGTCAACCCAATACAATTATTTAACCAATTCATTGAGTTGGATAGTGCAAAGTTATGAATTCTTTAGACTCAATTAGACCCACTTTAATTTAAAAACTGAAATTAATTATTTTTAAGATCAAAAAATTAATGAAGTGATGTATATATATATATATTATAGAGGTAGGTAAAAGCTTAATTTCAATAACTGAATTAACTAATAAAAAAAATCATATAAGCATAAAATAAATAGAAAAAAATAATTCCTTCATACATGCTTATATTAAGGATGTATTTTTTTTATATGATAGCATTACTCCCACGATTATAAGAGCTTACTATTATAAATTAGGACTTTCTTCTACAAAGACAAAAAAAAAAACTAAAAACAAAACAAGTGAGCGTCATTTTGGTCTATGCTTGCTAAGCCAAGCCAGGACTTCTGCCCGCGAGAGCAAAAATTCACCTACATGCCACTATATTATAACTAATCAACGTAGTGATTTCACCTAATTTAATTATTTAAAAAATATTGTCACCATATTTTTTCACTATTATTATGGACTATTTTCAGGCTTGCTAAATAATATTTGGTACTCTACGAATATCGCTTGCCCTAAAGTCAATCGCTTCATTTATGCAGGGGATTTATTGGTTTTTGGCAACGCCAGCTCTCAATTCATTTTGGAGTTATCTAAGAGTCTGTTTGGGGCGACTGCAACTTATCCAATTTATTAAGATAAGCAGTTTATCCTGATAAGCTGTTGATTTAGCAGCTGATCCAGATAAACTAGCTGGTTTTTTGGTTTGTGCGTTTGGAAAAAAACTGATTTGCAGCTGTTTCTGAACAAATGATCATTCTACCCATGTGTAGTATTTCTGTTAATGCTTGATAAATGAACATTCGAGATAATCACATAATTTATACAAGTACCAAAATAAATACTCTCTGATTATTTTAAAATTAAAGTACGAGTCCTCCATGAGACTATTTCCATCACAATTTAAAGAATTTGTTGACTATTTTAACACTTTTATGAATTATTGAACAAGAACAATGACTTATAAATTACTTAAAAGAAATAAATTTTTGAAGGTATATTATGAGTGTCGTAGTTCAAATTTTTGAAGGTATTTCATATTATATTAAATTTCCAAACTATTTTATTATTTTTGGGTGGGGAGATGGCCGGGGGCATTTACATATATACCACCCAATTCTAAGTTATTTGCATATTTAAAATCTAAATTTTACATTTTACATTTATAACACTTAAATATTTCATATTATTTTAAAAAGATTACTATTTAATTTGTTTAAAAAGACATAATAAATATTTTTAAGATGACACATAAAAGTAGAAGTTTAGGTCTCAGAAATGTGAATACATTGGTATTTGGTGGTAGGTATACAAATCTCCTTTTCTTCTTTTTTTTATTTTATTTTTCTGCTCAATCGTTTTCCTCTCCCTCCTCGCTCTCCCTCCTCGCTCTGCAGAAAGAAAAGGAAATTGGGGAAGCGGAGCCTCTTCGTTATGAAGAAGCGGAGAGCATCAATCTTCTCCAAATCTTCGAGTGAGAGAGGCGAACGACGAATCAGATTAGAGATGGGCGGCATTGCAGATATGGGCAGCAGTGCAAGTGGGGAGCTGAAGATCGCCATCAAGAATCTCACCGTCAAAAGAGACAAGCGAGAGGGAGCAAAGGGTCAAAATATTCCCTGAAACTCGAACCGCGGGGTTCCACTTGTGGCCCACACTTAATGTAAAATTTAAACGGTGTTTTTTACGACCGCTTGTCGAACGCTTGATCTAAACACTAAAGAGGCGTTTTCAAAACGCCACCACAGGTGATAAGCTGCCCCAAACACACCATAAGTATCTTTTCACTTTTTGTGTGAACCAATCTTCCCTGCTGAATCTTTTATTTTGCTTTTCTAAATCAGTTCCTCTTCAGAAATGTTCTTATTCAAGTGAGATGATTGCTATCAGATGAAACCCCTCAATTGGAAATATTTAGACGTTGTTATACACTCGTCTAGACTCGCAACATATAACTGTCCTACAATTATTGAAAGCATGCAATCCACTTTATGTGGATGGAAGCAGAAGTTGCTCTCATTTTCTAGAAGGTTTCAATTTAATGGATACAATATCTATAGTTACCTTTATTATTGGTTTAGGGCTACATCTCCTCCTAAAGGCTTGAGAAAGACTATTTCATCCATCATTAATAAATTTCTATTTTTTTTATCGATCAAATAGTAAAATTCATATTATTTCTTGGCGCACTACAACAAAACCTAGACATTATGGCGGGTTGAGACTTCCAAACCTTGATGCCTTGAATATCATGAACAAATATAAGCTTATGTGGAGAATTTACAATTATGACTATTATATTTGTGGTTCTTTCATTGTTACTTTCGAAGTTTTGTTTTGAATGGCTTGATTTTCCTCGAACTAGAACTTTTGTGTTGATATCCTCTAATGCTTGAGCACTATCTTATAATCATCAAGCCCCCACAGAATGTGTTAACCTCATTCCCAACACCCCAATTGTAAATTTTGCTTTTAATTTCAGTTAGTTGGCCAAGCTTTCTCTAGCTCATAGAGAGATTTGCAACTTCTCTGTTTTGATTCCCCTGTTACATCCTTTGGTGTTGTTTTCTCTCTTATGTTGCCACTTTCTTTCTCTTATTCTCATTTTTTTTTGGTAAAAAGTCATGATCTTTTACTTGTAATTTTCACTTTAATTTTGTTGGTCATGACTCGTTTTCCCTGAAAAAATTAAATCTCATATACATATACATATATATATATATATATATATACATATATATATATATATATATATATATATATATATATATCTTCTACACAGCAAAAAAAATCAAACGCACGCATGGACTACAAAACCGTTCGGAATAACGTTTAATTTTGAATTTTTTATTTTATCAATATTTTATTTGAAATAAATTATATTTAACTATTTTTGAAAGAATTTAAAATAATTTTTAAATACTTTAAATTTTAAAAATATAAATATAAATAAAAAATGCATTAAACAAACATTTTTAAAATAAAAAAAATTTTAAGAAATTCCCAGAGAAATCCTAAGTCAATTTATTGCTTAGAATAAATTATTTCTTATAACTTAAAAATTCTCAATAATTTGAATCAAATGCATAAATTTGATGTTTATTAAAATTCACATCAATAAAAATATTTTAAATACTATTAATATAATCATCCTTTAAGTTTTTATCGCCGGTAAAACAATTTTTCTCGCCTTATAAATATTTAATTAAAAAAATTCCTCATTTTTATTTTAAATTTGAGTCATTAAGAATAGCTTCTGAACCTCTGTATAAGAAGTTGACAAATCTTAGAATAACTAATTCTAATTAAAAAAAAAAAACCCCCCATTCCCTATTAAAAAATTTCTTTCAAAATTTTACCATCAAATTACTAGCAAATGGAAAGCATGTTAAGTTAATGTAACACTGATTTAAGTTTCAATTTAATCATAATTTAAAACCTAATGAAGAAAATTTGCGTCTCATATAGAGCACATTTGCTGATATCGCCAATAAAATGCCCAAATAAATTCCAATTATAAGAAAAAAATACAAGAAAATAACTCAAAATGTTTTCAACACTTCCAAGTTTAATAAAAAACACAAAAATCCCAACAAAATCTTAACAAAACAGTACTGTAAACAAGCACTTTAAATCTGAACACAAAACTAGCATAATCTTAACTCTGCTAAGCCAGCTTTGAGAAATACTCAGCAGCCTCAAACAGCAGCGAAGGCCTTCTTTCCCTTGGAACCACCGGTAGAGCCAGCTGGGATAACCTTCAGCACATTAAACCGAACAGTCTTCGCTAATGGCCTGAATCATATAAATAGTTCCAGTTAGTGAACAAAAATAAAATTTACATGCACCAAGCAAAAAATTTGTGTTAAATATGTAAATGTGTGGGGTTGGATGTGTAAATATATAAGAATATATGTAAATGCACCAAGCAAAAAACAAAGATATGAGTACCTGCATTGCCCAATTATAACGTGGTCGCCTTCCTTCACACGGAAGCATGGTGAAATATGTGCAGCAATATTAGAATGTCTTTTCTCGTACCTGGAAGATAGAAGAAAGTTTAGACATTTCACTATTGGAACGATATAGATGAATTAATAAATATGCATATATATTTATGGGCAGAGAAAGAGATGATTAATTTAATGATTTATGTACCTCTGATATTTCTTCACATAGTGAAGGTAGTCCCGACGAACGATGATTGTCCTATTCATCTTGGCACTGTGACAAGTGCCTGCTAAGATGCGGCCTCTTATAGAGACGGTGCCAGTAAATGGGCATTTCTTGTCAATGTAGGTCCCTGCAAACAAGTGGGTGAGTTATGCATGTAAGGAATTATGTGGTCGGAACTAGCCCACAGCTCCAAGGTGCATACAAGTTAAAATAATAATAATAAATAAAAAGAACATACCACATGAGTTGGAGAAGGTAACAGATAGGAGAAAAACAATAAAATAGTCTGATGTTCTCAAAATGCAATCATTTTAGAAGTATTTCCCATAATTAGATTTTATGCATTTTTAAAATATTGGAGTTTGATTGGATGAAAATAAAATGCAGTTTAATAGTTTATTGATGACACAATACATTTCAAACATTTTATCTTTATCATCTCAAATGTAGACTAATGCAATGGAGGTGACAGGCTTGGTGGCGGGATGCAACGCAAATGTGAGGATGTAGCGTAGGAGAAGCAGTGCGGAGTTATGGGAGGGACAACATCTAATGCGGGGCGAAGGGGCGAGGGGGGAGGGTCAAGGTAAGGGGTTGAAGGCGAAATGTGGCAAGGCAAAAACAGAGCAGCACATGCAGGCGATACAATGCTGAATAGGGAAATTGGTGGATTCAAAAAAATTTCAAATATAGGAAAAATGAAGTCTTTTTCAAAATTTTAATTTATATTTCTTTTGCTTCAAACCAAACATAAATAAAAAAAGAAATGCAAGGAAATAAAATACAATGCACTCCTACAGCTTCAGACCAAACACCATTGAAGATACTCAAAATACCTTAACATAGTAATTTATGTTACGCAAGTAAAAAAAGTCACAAAAATTAAATCAACAAATTATATTAAAAGTGATCCAAGCATTTGATAATAAGGGCCGATGAAAAAAAATTAAATAGCAACTCGAAAGCTAAACGGACATAACATTAAGCCTACAGAAGAGATATAAATGTTCCATAGGAGAAACTATTTTTAGGACATTATCAGCTGTCTAAAGGTCACAGTAATTTCATATTAAAATTAGCAGAATCCCAAAAATTGACATATGAAATATCACATCGATCCCGATATATTAAGAAATAGTATAACCATATAAGACAATTAAAGACGTAGAAATACAAGAAAATCTGTACAAGCAGCAAATATCTAAGATAATAACTCCCAAATCAGACAACAGTATAATTGTAGTAAAGGTGAAGATAAAATAGCTAGAGGGCTAATCTCAAGTAAACAAATTGTACAAATCATACAACAAAATGAAAAAAAACCTTTATCACAGAACAAGGTGCATCGAATATTGGCCTTAGTTAGCTGATGATTCATATCCTCAAGGACAAGCAGTCACGGTCGTAAATAATACAATAATATCTTTTTAAAAAAGTACTAGCATAAATGACACTTAAACATCAACCGCATCTCAAGATAATGAAATATATATATATATATATATATATATATATATGAAAAAGAATGTTCAACAGTAAGTTGGATGGCATAACCAATAGTCGTACATGACAGACCAATCTATTATAAAGAAATGTAAAATATTTAGAAGCAATTTACATTCGGTGCTAGAGAAAGGTATCAACGAGGAACAACCAAAAACACTACTACACTAGGTTACTGACCACCTCTGCATAAGTGAAACAACATCATCAGATTCAGCGCACACCTAATTACTAATGCTTAGATTGGCACATGTTAATTCTAGTTTGCTTATCGATTTTGTTATGTTTTGTCTTTTCTTCATAAATTTTTGTTTTCAAATGAAGTTGGAAGTTATGTTCGGCACTGTGTAAAAAAAACGATCAGTCATTTTAATGGGTTTGCAAAAGAATAAATTTACTCTGTCTGATACACTTTTAAATCATCTAAACAACTTAAGAACCAATATCTATAATAGTCACATTTTACTTCAGAATGATCTTATTTTCAAATTGTATTATAAGCAACTTCAAAAAGCACCGACAAAGAAAATAAAAAAATAATCCTAAAATCTAGAAACTTAAAAAATAGCAAAAAAATGCAATTATTTCATAGCAATGTTCTCAATTTTATGAATCCATCATAAAAAATCAAACCTACATGTTGCATGAGGTGTTAAATTTAAACTGCACAAATCTATTTTCAAAACTTAATTTCACTTTACTTTTGGTCTACCCTTTTTTAGAAATAATCTTTAACAATAATTTATTTTATCAACTCGCCTTACAATTATTTTTCTATCAACGTTTGCACGTGTCCAAACAAACAGTCTATTTTCCACTATTTTATATCATTCAACGAACATGTCCCAATGAATTATGCCTACTTTCCACCAACTTATCTTCAATAGATGTTACTCCCAACATACATAATATATTCATTCCTCAATAAAAACTTAGTTAAATCACACATTCATTATGGTATTCTCAATGATGTCAAGATAAATTAAGGCATCAATAACTTTTTACCCCTAAATAGCAATGCAATACATACAAGATGGTAGGCCTAGTTGCATTTTATAAATTTAACATCAAATCTCCATGATATTCTCTTGTCGCATACTAATAAAGCACCTCTCCATTGAAGCAACTTAAAATCTACGAATTATATTCTTATTCATACCTCATTCTTCTATATAATAGATCCAAGATTATTAAATATATCAAGTCTAAGTAACACTTTTATCTTCTATAAACATTGATGGAGAGTTGTCAAATTAATATATAACACTCAATCTTTGTTCTACCAAACATAAGCCTTCTATCTTCTAGTATAACTACCATCATTCTAATTTTCCACTTATTATAATTGGCATATCACTAAATTTTAAATATTCTTCTCAAGTATCTCAGCAATTAAGACAAAAATCCTTGACGTAATAATTTTATAATTAAAAAAACTCTTTAATTGATCCATAACTACTAATACTAGTCAGTGCTCAATCAAGCAAATCTTTAAAAACCACAACATAATTTCACACAACATTCCCCATAATGAGCATAAAATCAATTTTTGTAATGCTCGATCACAAGTACTCTTAAGTTTAATAATTAAAGATATCAAAATAGTCATTTTTTTGCACCATATACTGAATCGCCATGCCAAACAATTGTTTATCCAATGAATCTTTCTAGCATGCAACAAAACTGATCATATCACAATGCATAATTTCTCCAATTTTATGATCCATTGCTCTCTCATCAGTTCAAGACTCGCAAATTAAAATCATCTATATTAACATCACTGAGCAAGCTATCATGAAAAAGTCGTAGTTTCTCGCCTTTAAATTTTCACTGTCATATTTGTATCCTATTGGCAATTAATCCTTTATACAATTTCTCAATACTCTTAAGATATGCATCCATAACTATTGGTTAATATCGTGCAAGCAAACTTTTTCTCAAATCACCATATAATTTTTACAAAATGATTTTTTCCATTCTAATTTAAAAAAATAATATTTGCTAATTATCTTATTTTTAGAGGTAACTAAGTTCTCATCTCATTTCTTAAAGTATGTGTTTGTTATTGCAAAATTACATATTACTACAAAATAAAGCATAGTTTCTCTTATCGAATTTCTATATCCTCTTACATGCTCACCATGAATCCCCACATAATCTATCTTAGAACATATGAGTTCATGTAAGTTGCCACATGATCCTCAAAATAATTATCCTCTCCTCATCTCGTAAATTTCTTCTCAATATTTACTTTAAAACCACATTGCGCGTGAACAATAAAAATTTATGAGGTACTCACAAATAATTAGCTTTATAGCACTCACCATATTACAAACATTATTAACCTCAATAATTTCAACTTATCAGTTAATTCATCATCATTCATATCTCATGACTATTATAATATTTCCAATATTCAAGAATTTATAAGCATGACTAATGTCTTGGATTATCTACTTTTTATATTAAGCAATAAAAGTTCGTTTTTCACAAAAGAATGTTGTGTTGCATCACCTAAAATTGTTGTCTTGGCTAGCTTCTGCCTATCTTTTACTATAATAAGATTAAGAGTCCGTTTGAGATAGCTTATTAGTGCGACCAGTGATTTGAAAACACCGACCGAGTGTTTGTTTATGGCTGGCGGTCTGAAATCGCTCAACGTCAAGACTTCAGTATTTACGGTCGCGCTTCGGACCCTGCTTTCCGCATTCCGTTCGAGCTTATTACCCTCCAACCCCTCGATCCCATCCCAATCTTTTGCATTTCTCCTCTCCGATCTTGTCTGTGCTTTGGTTCATAGTTGTCCCCGATCTCATCTACCCTTCTCATCTCCCGATCTCTCGTCTGTGCTATGGTTCTCACTCGTCTGCAACTCTCCCTCGTTCTCCCTGTAAGTTCTCCCTCGTTCTCCCTCACCCGAACCTCACTTTGGTGCTCCGGCACTCTGGTAATAGTAATGTGTTTTGTTGATGTCTGTGTTGGATCTATGTATTCTAGCGGTCTTTGATAGATTCCTTCCTGTTTTCGCAACTGTGTTCAATTTTTTTCGCCCCTGTGTTGGCTCTATCGGATCTGGTGATGCCTTGTCGTGGCCTGATCTGTTATTAGTCATAGAAAAGATTATGATGTATGAATTTTTTATTGTTTGATACCATAAAAATGATTTGGGTGGCACAAATTTTATAATTTTGGCATTAGATAGCCATCAAATGCATTGCCCACCACGATCATCATCCAAGTTCTGTAATGTGTTTTGTTATGGCATTAATGACCCATTTCATGATAGAAGTATCATAAGGTGCAAAATTTTTGCTCCGGCATTTTTAATGCATAAATTTACCAATGGCATCTTCTAATGCCAAAATTTTCGAGTTCATGGTAAGCTCTATTTAGCAACTAGATGTTGAAGGCAAATGTTTGGAATGTCATTGAAAGGAACCTTGTGTTGTCTTTCTTTGTAATTTTTTTAAGCATGGAATTAATCCATGTGCTTTCCCTTGTGTGAATTATCTTACAACATATCTATTACAATTTGGTAACTTTTTTTTACATCGTAGGGGTTGGCAAATAGCTATGGATAAGTCATTGCAGTTCACTCAAGATGGCTTGATAATTTTTTATTCAATAAAAACTAGTTATTTTTTGTGCATGCCTTGTGCTTCTCACGTTCTATGTTAAACCCCATGCTTTGGGATGTCTATTAGAGTTTGTGGTTGTTGATTGCCTCTTGGAAAGGCTGTTTTTAAATTAATCGTGCTAGTCATGTTGTTGGAAAGGTTGTTGCATACTAGTCATGCTATGACGTGCTTAATATACATGGGTAGGATGACAGGCATGCATAAATTGAAGCTTAGATGTAGGATAAGTAAACACATTATAATTTGGGGATTTGGAGTTGAACCCCCTTTATAATTGTACTTGTAATTATATTTATCTTAATTTTATTTATTTTGATACTCACACATGAGTGAGCATTCTGTTATTTTTTTTAATTGATCTGTAATGATTTGCGACTTCAGTTTTATCTTTTATTTTGCTAATACAATTTTGTTGAAAACAACATCACGAAACGGAGGCAGAATGATCATTTATCTAACAACAGCTGCAAATAAGTTGTTCTGAATGAGCTCCCCCAAACAACAAATCAGTTTATTCTGATTGTCAGGATAATCTGTCTATCAACAGATTATAAATAATCCACAGTTGCCCCAAACATACCCTAAATTGTAATGTGTCGCATATAACAAACAACCCACCTATATAGAAACAATATGTAATTATTAATACTTAATATTGTTTCTATAATTCAATAATGCCACAACAATCAATGAATGTTTTGAAAGCCCATAAAATGATGCATTAAAAAACAAACTTGTCAAATAGTAACTAATTTTTATATTTTTAAAAGATAAAATTGATCATAAAATCAAGCAATTAATGCATATTATAATGTCATTATTCCAACTAAGAACTTAAATAGCACCAATACTTAATAATTGTTCATTGATTAAAAAAAAAACTACATACAGTTGCTAAGAAAATAAACAAATCTATTAATTCAAAAAAATATGTTTAAATTTAATTTTCTGAATGTGTCTTACAAATGATATGAAAATTAATAAATATAAAACAAAATGACTTGGCCATATTTATTCATATAACTACAAATCTACTTTCTCCCACATAACGCAGATTTGTAAAGAATAGTGAACAATAAACCTACTCTAAAATAAACTTTCTCGGGGTATGTAGGCAAGCATTCATATAACTTCCCCACTTTATATAGTTCATTCGCTCAAGCAAAGCCATAAAATCAATAAATTTCAAATATTTCGGAACTCAAGTTTTACTCTTGCTTTTGCAAACATGGACAGATTATTGTAATTTTTTTGTCAAAATAAACTTCAAAGCAGGGCCGAAGTTTCAGGGTTCATACCTTCAATGGCCTCCCTAGGTGTCTTGAAGCCAAGACCAATATTCTTCCAAAATCGATTCCCACCCTTCCCAGGCCTATTACCCTTTGCAGACTTTTTTGAGCTGCAGCGCGCATGATCGAGTTAAATTAACAACCAAAACAGAAAGAAAAGCAATATGAAATGATTTCATACAGATGCTTACCTTAGGAACACTTTTGGTTGCTTGAGGAAGGCCCTCTCAGTCTGTGCAATTAAAGAATTAACCACTTTAATGGAGATTCAATAGATTCATATGTCCTTTGTAAGAGATACAAAAAATTTGACATGAATGTAAACCTAAAGACGTTACGATGCATCCTTCGCAACGAACGGAATTGCATTTCAGGCGAATAACACAGAAAGAAAGCTAGAGCAAAAAATGGGTAACGAAGTTGCTAAAGCAAATGCACCCTGGTGAGAAACAATTCTATCACAAAGAGCCGAAGATTACCGATCTAAAATCACGAGGCAACGGATTAAAACTCTAATAAATCAGATTACATGATACTATTGTCTCAATCATCGACTTGCTCAACACATTCGAAGCAAATAGCACAAAGAGAATCAGGATTAATAAAAAACTACCTGCTCCGCCATGGCTAATCGAGATAAGAACCGAAAACTGTAGACTGCAAGCGGAGGGCGAAGCAGTACACGCTTTCTTAGAAAACTAGAAACCCTAATGGCTGCCGAGCGGAGATGTAATATAAGGGCTAATAGATTGATCGGGCGGCTGAGAGCTCGATTGAGAAATGAACGGACAGGATAATTCCTTCTCTAGAATTTTATGATTTTGAGCAGCTTTAAAATTCAACAGTTGAATCAGGATCTATATAAAGAAAATTATTTAATATAACTTAAATCACATAAAAATGAGATGAAATTCAGTATAAGGGATAGATAAATAAGAAAATATAAAACTTCATCTCACCGTTTGGAAACTGCATTTGAGCGGTTTATCATAAAATGCAGTTAGTTTTTTTACACTAAACGCAGGATGTGGGTCAAATCCCGCGGTCCGCGTTTTCAGATAAGCAGCTTATCTGAATAAGCACAAGCTGCCCCAAACGCACCCTTAATCTTGTTTATTGAACATATGAAGGGAAGGTAACGATGGTAATATAATTGAGCAATTAGAAATTTTACGTGTTATATTAATAAATACAAAGTTTTAGTGATAGATATAGATGATTATTTTTTAGATACAATTGCATTCACCTCTTAAAAGGGTTTTTAGAGTTGCATATATCACTCCCTTTTTTATAATTTTTTAAGTAGAAGTAAAGATCAAATTGACTGAAATAATTTATCTCTAATGTATTAGAGCCTAATGGACTTATTGGCCAGGGCAAATTTCACTGATATTAATGCTTTTTATCTAATTAGATAATAATGTTGAAATTAAGTTAGTTAAGATTCTGGCTTGATCTGAGCTATTTTGATGACCAATATAAATTAACTTTTCAATGAGTAGTTAATATTAAATTATTTAAATAAATTTGGTTATTCAATTGAATTGATTAGTTAAAAATGGCCAAAAGAGTCTAGAGTGTTGAGGGTTTTGGGGGATGGATTTGACTATTTGTCAAACTTAATAGTATAGTAAAAAATAAATGATTCATTTGTCAATTAAAACAAATTCAAATATAAATAGATGATTAGAATAAGCGATTAAATGATTAAATCATTAATCACTCCATTTTTAGGATTATATTTGAGTAACTTTGACCTCAAGTTGACCAACTTTAGCAAAAATGACATTAAAATGAACAATAAAGTGATATGGAATGCTCTATTGATTGATAGGCTTACTATACATATTTTTAGTTAGGTTGATAAATATCTTGCCAGATCTCTTTATAGTTTCTAGGATCTACTCATAGGCTTAAAATTTTCTCTTAATGAGCCTTAATGGTTACTCATAGACTTATGTTGATGGCAAACCCTATAATAGATTTCAAGTTAAATCCTTCTTTCTTCGGGTTTAAATGAACTTATACTGGTCTCTATCCTATCATTCAAAGTTAGAGAGTTAATAGTAAATTCATAATGAAACTAAGAAAGTGAACTAAAACAAAGAAAGTGAACCAAAACTAAGCCCACTTAAGCCATCCCTATAGGACCCTTAGAACTTCTAAAATGAAACAAAGCCTGATGTACTTATGATTCATTTTCGAGACTATGATTTTTCCTTCCTTAAATTCTGTAGAAATGATATTGAATAACTCATATGAGATGCGGTAGTAACGATAGGTAAGAAAATTTTCCCAACTCAATCTATCATCTCAAATGAACCAATGTACCTTAGATTCAATTTTAATTCTCTGTCAATATATTCACACCCTCTAATAGGCTAACTTTCACTAATAAGGTCACGAAGGTGGAATTTCACTGCTTAATGCTTGAAATCATACTTTCATTGTCAACTTTGTATTGCTTTCAGTATATCTCTAAGAAGTATAATCTTTTCAATAGTATCATACATTAAATATTGCCCCACCAATTTCCTTTCTCCAACTTTTATCCAAGATAGTTGTCTTATAATTACAATAATACAAAATCTCATCTGGTGTCATTTCAATGCTAGACTAAAAACTATTAATATAAACAAACTCAGTTAAAGGCATATGATATTATTATATTCCTCCAAAATCAAGTGTAGACAACCTCAATAAATACTTGAATACCATAATAGTCATCTTAGGATGACCAACTAATAGTCATGTTCGATTTTAACCTATTTGTCTGACCGTATTAGACATTTCTCCGTAATATGAAATTAAAATTGTCATTGTGCTAAAAAAAAATAACATTTAGTAACTTATACAAATTAACAATCTAATGTGCATCAGACGATTCTAACTCTAAATTAAATTTTTATGCCTTATAAGATGAAAATATGATGGCTTTGTCTATCGATTAACCATGACCAATGTTGCACATGTCCCTACCCAGGCCTCAAAAATACTATAATAGAAGTCATTGTGATTTTTTTTTTTCATTTTCATTCATGAGTATTAAATGCTATTGAAAATAATTAAGTCGCAAATGTTCTAGTTTATAACCCGACAACCCCATATTTTGATATAACTCATACACTTTATTTTCATTCAAATCCCTTAGAATATCAATTTTAAATCATAATGGATTCCACTACATTTAGGATGAATTTTATTTTTTTAAAAAATATGACATATGCAATATTCACTAGACAAATAAGAGCCAATAGTCGAGCTCTATAATTCAACATTCCTTAATCATTTACCTGTAACTCAGGTCTCATTAAATATTGAAAATGACGTATCAATCTCCCATGTTCCTTAATAGCCTTTTAAGTTTCATGAATAATTACTTGTAATTTATTCTGTACATTCTTATGAGAAAGTGCTTATTTTTATGAGTTGATTTAGGCTCGTTTGGGGCAACTTATTTGATGCGGCGGTGTTTTGAAAACGCACCTGATCTGTTTGGATAAATCGCGTTTTGACAGCTTATGCATATTCAAAACACAGAAAACAGCGTTTTCACACCGCACATATCTATGTGCGGTGGAAGCTTATTGACAACGGTCTGACTTTTTCAAAAAAAATAATATCATCAACAGATTATTTTTAATCAGCTTATCAGCATATTATTCAATAAGCTACAGCTGCCCCAAACATACCATCAATCATCTCTAATTTCAACCCCTCTATATTACAAATTGATGTAGCATCCAAGAAAATAATCTAACATATTACTCCAATGAATTCTCTAATCATAGCATCTGCCATTATATTAACCATATTATATGAAAATTGAATGTTGAGATTATAATATTTAATCAACTCCAACTATCATTTATGTTTTATATTTATTTTTTTTCCAAGTTAAATTATACTTTAAACTTTGATGGTCAATAAAAATATCACATTTAGCTCCATACTTGTACGGTCTTTATATCTTCAATGCAAATAATGGTTGTTAATTTCCAATCATCAGCTGAATAAATTTTACTTGTAGTTTTAATTATCTAAAAGTGATACATCATGAAAAAATTTTTATTATCCAACACAAATCTCAAGGTATTTTTTGAACAAGAAATATTCCAGATTCAAATCAAAGATCATCAAGGCCCCAATTTTAGCATGTTTATAGTCAAACTGTTCATCTCGACAAGACAAACTCAATGATATAAAAATTAGTCCAAAATGAATCCAATTAATTCATTAAAGCACTTTTGGATGTTTTAGATCATCAATTGAATAATAAAAATAACTAAAAATTTGACATATTTATATTCAAATTGAGTGTCTTAGCGTAAGGAATCCAACACACATAAACCCTCTTAATTCCGAGGTCATAAAAGATCTAAAATTTATTAAAAATCTTCTATAATCAAAGGTTATTAATATGAGTCATATGATCATGTGGATGTGAAAGTTACTTGCTAAAAAATCAAATACCCCTCCCTCAGAGCCTATAAATTGACCCCCTTTATTCACTTAGAAAATAAGGAGTCAAATTCTAGTGGTATTTTCGACTGAAGGCCCATCAATAACTCTCAGCCTCAATAACCACCGATCACTTCTCTCGCCCATCATCGACCACCTCTGGTCTCCTCTACTCATCGTTATCGACAAAATTTACAGTGTAAAAATGTACTTTGAATATAATGTAATGATTTATCTCGAATACAGTGTAATGAATAATGTCATATTGAAGATCTAATAATAAATCCTGATAATATTTGCTTACGATCGTCGTATTCGAAATACAATGACTTTCTTCATATTCTTGAAGTTTTTCGTATGTTGTATACGTAGAAACATTATAATTGGTATGAAATTGTAACCATTCTGTTTGAGCTGTGGGAAAAGGTTGCATTCTTTATAATTTCACACATATTGAAATACTTTGCTAGGTTAGGCACATTAATTGTTTTTATTTTCAAAATTTTTCCACATAAAAAAATCTTGGCATCTCCACCTAGTACTTTTAAATTATCTGTGTGTTGGATCGTTGTTTAATGTTGAGATGTCAAATTATCACTATACAACTGTGAATATTCAAGCACGCAATAGTTTGGGATTGTTAGTAGGAAATGAAGTCCTATTGATAGAAATCTGCACTTCATCAATAACTAACAAGTATAGTATACATGCTCCTCACTCCAACACCCATTATTTTTAGGGGTGGATTTTAAGTCATGGATGTCAAGCCTCCACTTCATCTCCTATTGATACAAATCATCGAGCTGGCAAAGAAATTCCCTCAGCAACACTTTAACATCATTTACAAAGGATGGAAGAGTCTCAAAACGAAATTCCTTAACTTCTACGTGAGGCTCAAAAAACTAACAATTATGTGTACTAGAGTGACACAACTACCTCGAAAGCTTTCAACCTTAGGTGCACAGTTGGTAAACTCTCTACACATTGAAGTCCCCCTCTAAGAAGCTGAACTCTTAGACATTATTAACTCTACATTTCCACCTTGCATCATCAAACCAAACAACCAATAATGTGCGGAGAATATAGTTCGACCTCATTTAATTCACGATGAATCACGATGTATTGTATGTGAAGAGTTCTCTTTGAAGGATATATGCTATTTCTCAGCTTAGTGTGGTTTTCGTGAGCCTTACCTATTTACAAAAATTACCCTTCAACATCATATTTTAATATAATTTAAGCTTCCAGGTGTTGATA